GAAGATCCGAGAGGTTCCGGTCACCTCCAGTGAGATTAGGGAAATGGAGAGGGATTTTCTGCCGCGAATCCACGGCATTGATTGATGGAGAATTGGGGAAATTTTGAGAAACAGGGGGGCGAGAAAAACCCGCGTTTGAAACCAACGTTACATTAGTAGATATGGGCCGGGCTGGGCCTTTCATATGATAATTATTTCGACGGATTATTTTTCCCCCTGTAGCAATCCAATTTCCTAACTGAACTCTGCTACCATTGCTTAGAAAATATAATCAAGAGAAGTTAATCATTGGAGACAGCCCAAAAAAAATTCTAGATACCATCAAATTGTGTAGTACCTACTTAAGAGTCATCTGGCCAGTTATCACCATAATGCTTCATAACAAATAAACAAAATTGTAATCATTTCCTATTATTATCGATAACAAGAGAGCAAACACCATTATTTTTTTCCAACTTAAATATTCACAGAATCATGATACTCTTTCGCAAAGAAGGTAATCGATGTGTGTTTCTTATAATAGAGAGTGCAGTGCTATCGTTAACATTCCCATAAAAAGAGATGATCTATACCATTTTACGGGGATGGTTGTTAGCTTGGGAATTTTAGATCTTTAAGTCTCCATTTTTTTTCCTATTTGTATTATTTGCACATAAAATTTTCTACAAATGCGATCTTTTCTCTATCCTATAGGTATTTTTAAGGTAACAGGGTTGCAGTCATGCTCATAAATTATAGGCCGATTACCGTCTAGTACCAAAAGACTAGTTCTAAGTAGATAGTTAACCACCGTAGCAAGTTAAATAGAAAAAGGATTATTTACATCCCGCAATCACTTGGTATATAGTGTAATTATGTTATAGTGACACTAGGATTCAATTAGATAGAACCATAGCTCTGATACCATGAAGGAAATCGTGCTATGTCTACATGCATAATACACAGCGGAAGACATGTATGTACAAAAATACTAAGCATGTAGAGAGCATGAAATATTCATATGGATCGTCTAATTAAATCTAACATGATCCTTATTATTAAGTGAGCATACAAGAGTTAGAAAGTCATACTTTCGTAGCGTGATTCGATGGAAGATCGAATAACCCCTAGCTCTTGCTCCTTGTAGTAGAAAATCTCCTTGTAGTGGATCTCCAAGTCTTCAAGTGAGCTTGATAAAATGGGAGTCTTCTTAAGACACAAGGCAAGATATCCACCCCGGGGTTCTTAAAATCCTACTACTTCCTCTTGCTCAAAGATTGCTAAAGTTTAGTAAGAGGAGAGCTCTCTTTTATTCTCTTATGGAAAAAACACTTAGCCAATTTTTCATTAACCTTTCCATAAGAAAAAGAGCTCATATTTATAGAGTGAAATGTGTTCATGATATGAATGACTCATCCTATGAGTCATGCAATGAATCATCAAAAATTAATGATTAATCAAGTGAGTCATGCAATGAATCATCTTATGAATCATTACATTTCAAAACCATGTGCTAATAAACCATGTGCTCAAACCATACCACTAAGTGACTCATCTCATGACTCATTATACATGGTATGTGTATTTCATAAATGAGAATACCAAATTATTATCACTAATACAGTATTTCATAAATACGGTATATAGTATTATTCCAATCTTTAACTAATTAGTCACTATATGACCAAATAAATCAAGAGTTGACCAAAAGTCAACTGTTGACCAAAAAGTCAACTAGTTGACTAAAAGTTAACTTTATGGGAAAAATACTGGAATTCATTTCCTAAGCACATAGCATTCCGATTTTACCGATATACATAACCGTTTATGTGTATCCGGAAGAAATCATATATGCGTATCAATCATACGCATCACTCCATAAATTGTGTTTCATAGGATTCAAGTACGCGCTTGGTGTGACTCTAGGGCCCAACTTAAAAAACTCGGTAGTGGATCATATCCATAAGTACAACAGAGGTGCTAGCTACACATGAAGACCACCCGGGTATAAGTTGTGATAAAGGTCTGCAAGATGCTTATCCAATTTTATCAGGACCACTCAATGATAATACCGTACAGTCCGGTCTCTTCGTCAAACCATGTCAAACTATTGAGCCTAGGGTATGGCAAACTGTCAAACCCTAATAGCTTGATTAGTGTTTATTGATATTAAACTCATAACCTATAAGATCAAACTGACACTCAGTTTATCTTATTCACCTTGGCCAAGGATTTCCAGGCTATAGTTATATCAAACAATCTTATGACATCAACCCCTATACTGGGAGAGACGAATCCCTTCTTGGCATCTCAATATCTACTTATGTCTCGGGATGTACCCAACAAGAACCGTTATGCACAATTCAATAAGAACTGTGGTTAGGTAAAAGTCTAAATACATCTTTACTGACATATAAGATATTGCACTCATGCCTCAGGTCAAGAGACTACTATGTACTATATCACTTGAGAACTTCTATTTGACAGTTAAGTATATTACCAACTAGATGTTCTCGGCGAGTCGTTCAGTCAACTCATTCACTAATGAGTCACCTGTATACTGTATCTTGATGTCTCACATCAATGATCTAAGAGATTGATCATCTCCTTCAAAAGGAGAAATAAAGCATACACTAGTCTAAACCAAAGTGATGATGTCCTATCTCAACACTTCATCAACTAGGAACATTTTAGAATATACGTTACCGACTAATCAGATCTCTTCATTACGATCACTATCCGAAATGTCTGATAGTCTAGTATTTATTCTAAGGACATTATCTGTATATTTAGAACATCAGATAAATCTGACCAAAATAGCATACTATCATTTTGAACAAGGATGTTATATACATATAGGTCCTGTTACAATATACAATAATTGCCTGCAGGGCACCTATATCTAACAAACTCCCACTTGCACTAAGGCCAATTATAGTATCTAATACCCAATAGCTCAACAAGTTTCTCAAATTGTGAACGAGCAATTGCCTTTGTGAATGGATCTGCTATATTATCTTTTGTGTCTACTCTTTCAATCTTGATCTCCCGGCGATCAACTATCTCCCTGATCAAGTGATACTTCCTCAGAATGTGTCTGGACTTATGGTGAGATCGGGGTTCCTTTGTTAGAGCTATTGCAGCATTATTATCACAGTATAAAGGTACTGGATCTTTAATGGTGGGAACAACTTCCAGCTCTAAAAGGAACTTCCTCATCCAGACAGCTTCTTTAGCTGCATCATTAGCTGCAATGTATTCAGCTTCCATAGTCGAGTCTGCTACTGTATCCTGCTTGGAACTTTTCCAGCTGACAGCTCCTCTATTGAGGGTGAAAACATATCCTGATACAGACTTACTATCATCGATATCGCTCTGAAAGCTTGAGTCGGAAAAAGCCTCCATTCGGAGGTCACTTTTACCGTATATCAAAAATAACTCTTTAGTCCTTTTAAGGTACTTAAGTATATTCTTGACCGCTTTCCAGTGCTCTTCTCCATGATCAGATTGGTATCTACTTACCAAACTGAGTGAATAAGCGATATCTGGTCTAGTACATAACATGGCATACATGATCGATCCTACTGCCGAGGCATAAGGAATTAGACTCATGCGTTTCCTCTCTTCATCAGTCCGGGGAGACATCTTTTTAGAGAGGGAGATTCCAGGAGATGCAGGTACAAAACCTTTCTTGGAATTTTCCATGCTAAACCGTTTTAGCACTTTGCCAATGTATCTAGATTGCGATAATCCTAACATCCTTTTAGATCTATCTCTATAGATCTGAATACCCAGTATACAGGATGCTTCACCTAAATCTTTCATGGAAAATCTTTTTGATAGCCAAATTTTAACCGCTTGTAATGACGGTATGTCATTACCGATTAAGAGTATATCGTCTACATATAAAATAAGAAACGATATAATACTCCCAATTATCCTTTTATACACACATGGTTCATCTGGATTTTTGATGAAACCAAACTCTTTGATAGCATCATCAAAACAGATGTTCCATCTCCGTGATGCTTGCTTCAGTCCATAAATAGATTTAAGCAATCTACATGCTTTTCCACTGCTCCCACTAACTACAAAACCCTCTGGTTGCGTCATATATATGCACTCTTCTAAATCACCATTTAGAAATGCAGTTTTAACGTCCATTTGCCAGATCTCATAGTCATAGTGAGCAGCTATAGCAAGTAGGATCCGAATAGACTTGAGCATAGCCACTGGAGAAAAAGTTTCATCGTAGTCCAAACCAGGTCTTTGACGAAAACCTTTAGCTACCAGTCTAGCTTTAAAAGTCTCTACTTTTCCATCTACACCCAACTTTTTCTTAAACAACCATTTGCAACCTATGGGTATCACCCCTTTAGGAGCATTGTCTAATATCCATACTTTGTTGGTGTACATAGAGTCTATTTCAGATTTCATTGCATCATGCCAAGCAACAGAGTCCCTACTCTCAGAGGCTTGCTGATAACTTAAAGGTTCGTCATCATCTATGACGTGATCTAACATGCCACCTTCAACTAAAAAATTATATTGTGTCTTAGGTGCATGAGATCGCCTTGGATATCTGTGGAGTGGTTGAGGTTCTTCTGGTATAACTGAATTTGCTGGTTCCACTAATTTATCAGTAATATTTTGTATCTCTGAAATTTCTTCCAGTTCTACCATGCTCCCACTAATTTCTTTTTCAAGAAATTCCTTCTCTAAGAAGGTGGCATGCCGAGAAACAATTATCTTTTGTTCATCGATGTGGTAGAATTGATATCCAATGGAATTCCTTGGATATCCTACAAATTTGCATAATACTGAGCGTGCCTCTAACTTTTTGGGATCTTGCTTCTTTACATAAGCATGACATCCCCAAATCTTAATATAATTAAGATGTGGTTTCTTCCCACTCCATATCTCATATGGAGGTTTAGGCACTGCTTTAGTTGGAACCCTATTCAG